GCCCTGCCTTCTCCGGGCAGGTCCCCTGTACACACTGCCCTTTCGGGCTGCATCCCCTTAGTTTTGCCGGTTCCGGATCCAGCCCCTCAGCCCTAGGGCGCCCAGCCTGTCAGGTACCGCCAGCTGTCACCTGTCAGCACGTACCTCCTGTCCCCATCCCTACTTTTCTGTGCCCTGTCAGGGCCTAGCCTCGCAGCCCTGCAGCCTCTTCTTGCCCCCCCCTTCCGATCTGACCCTGACGACCTCCAGGGTCCACCCCACCCCCAGCGCCCTCCTCAGCCGCCTTGCTCCCAGGCCCTCGGCTGGAGCCATGTAACCTCAGCCTCCAGCCCCCGGCCCCTGGCTCCCGGCCCCTGACCTCTGGCCTCGAGCACTCCGCCCCGAGCCCGCCACCGCAGACCCTACTCTCTTCCCGGGAGGACCGGACAGCTACGCGCACTTAACCTCTGTAAGGCCCTGGACTGGAAACAAACTGCCAAACACTTGAGGGCGGAGGGGCCGGGGGAGCTGCTCGTTGGGGTTCGGGTGCAGTTGCTCTGTGTTATTTTTAGCTGCTGACTCACAGCTCCTGGCATCCGGGTTTGGGGCTAGCAGACTGGGCTAGGGGGCTATTAATAGAGCCGAGGCACAGTCCCGACCCAGTTCCGTTTGGAAGCACACGGAACACGGAGCCTCCCCTGCCGCCAGGCTCCGTGGAGGTGCTGTGGACCGCGGCAGTGGCCGGACCGGTACTTCTCCGCCTGCCAGTACGTTCACAGGTATCTCCGGCCCTGCAACTCTTGAGGGAAAGCCCACAGCGAGGCCTTGGCGCGGGGCTCTGCCACCAGGACGCTCCTGCTGTACCAGCCGAGAGTGACGCCACCGGTCTAGAGGGGCGCGGTCACCGCCACCACGGCCCGGGCCTGTCCGGCCTGCTCCTGGGCCGGAACCTGGGTTCCCAGGAGGAAAAGCTGTGGGTTTCTAGTCCCCAGAGGCCCTCGTGAGGACGGGGTGTGCGTCCCGGTCTACCAAAGGGGACCAGAGCTAGGAATTCGCTGGTCCCAACCAGACGACGGCACAAGGAAACTGCCCGCTTCGTTATTTACCGCCCTCCCATTCTTTTTAGTGTTTTCCCTCTTTGGGGGGCTCTGTCCCTACTCACGGGAGTCAACGGACCTCAGGATCTCTCTCTCCCTACTCCATCGAGAAAAGGAATTCGGAAAAGCCAGTGGGCCACTCGTCTCCTTTATATATGGCCATCGCCACGGGGCCTTTTTATTTTAATGAGCCGAAGTAGGAGCTCCCTAATTTATACACTGGGAATGGTGGGAAATCTTAATGCCTTACTGGACTAATCACCAAAATTATTCCCACCCACGGCCAATTTTCTAGAATTCCCATTAACGAAGGATGCACAACCCCCAGCAGTGCCCCCTAGCGGCAAACCAGAAACTTCTGCCTGCGGCGCCCCTGGTCTCCCGCCGCCAGGTGAAAGCGGATGGCTTTGGGGCAAGGACGATGGTTTCCTCACATGCAAAGACTGGCGTCACCCAGTGAAGCTCTGCTCTCAAGAATGAGCCCAGATCGTCACACAGCAGGGGGCTGCGCTGCCCCGACCCCATCAATTTACTGAGGGCGCCGGCGACAAGGCGGACGGCATGAGAAAGGGTCGCAGGGTCACTCTACTCCCAAATCCCTTCGTACTCCTCTGCTCTCCTTAGTCTGAGCAGGCCGCCTGGTTGCCTAGCAACCACGGTCGCCTGCTGGGGCGCGGGGCTGCTATCGGCCTGTAGGGGGCGCCTGTCTCCCTGGGACCTCAGGCTCCAGCAGCTGCGGGGTGGGGGGCGGTTTCCAAGTGTCAAAGCATCTCAGGGGTGTCAACCCACTCTAGCCTGAGTGTCGGAGAGCCTGTGGCCTGCGGGGAAGCTCACTATGAATCTCAAGGGCTTTTCCTCAAATTCATTAAAAATGAAAAGATGAGAGGGAGGGAGGGCCGGGGTGGCGGGGAGAGAGAGTGCGCGCCAAGCAGTCATGGGGATGGGGTGCGGGCAGGGCGGTTTGATCCTGTCCATTCGCTCCAGGCTCAGCAACGCTGTTCCTCAATCAGAGCAGGACAGACGGCCCAGGCTATATGCAGGGGGCTTTTTTTTTTCCTGAGCCATCTTTAGCGCGTAGGAAAAGCGTGTAGCACTCTGTATTGACAAACTGCTGCGCGTATAAAAGACTTCAGCTCCCGCGTTACCAGCCTAGCCTAGACTTGGTCACGAAGGAAGATGTTCGTTCATTTGTTCCTTCAACAATAATAATTAACCCTACCCCACTGGGTGCCAGGTCGTGTGTTAAGTGTTTTACATTTAATCCTCGCAAAAAAAACCCTATAATTATTTTCATTTCACAGGTAAAGAAACTGAAGCTTGGAGAAGTAAGGTAGCATCCAAGGTCACACGAGTAGGTTGGGTCTGACTGAGCAACCACGTGTGCCAGGGTCTAAGAATGTAGAGAACAAGACACACCTCTTTCTTTTCTCTACCTAATGAACACGTACTCACCCTTCAGGACTAAACTAGAAATGTCATCGCCTTTGTAAAACTTTTCTTCCGTCCTCCCCCGACAAGAAGACTTGATGGCTTGCTTTTCTGCGTACCCCTATGCATAGCGCTTTTCACAGGTATTGTAATGGTTCGCTTGCATATTTCTATCTCTCTGACTTGGAGCAACTTGGCATCAGGACATGTTTACTATTCATCTCCACTTGGATGTCTAAGTGACATCTCAAAATCAACATATTCAAATCTGAACACCTGATTACGTCCCCTAAAGCGACCCCTTCTAAAGCCGTCATCTCAGTTGATGGCAATTTCATCTTTCCGGTTGCTCTGGCCAAAAAAACCTTGGAACCGCAGCTCGTGTCTAATTTGTCAGCAAATCCTGTCGACTGTCCCTTCAAAACACATTCAGAATTCGACCAGTTCTCCTCACCTCCGGTGCTACCATCATGGTCCAAATCACCATCACCTGTCACCTGGATCACTGCAGTAGCCTCCTGACTGGTCTCACTGTTTCCACCCTGTCTCCCCAGG